CTGCTGTTATTATATGTATGATTAAATATGTGAATCTTTTATTAAGTTTCTCTGATGTTATCCCTAATAAGAATAGTTCTGGTTTCAGCTCTATCTGCTGTTCTATCATCTCTTCTAGCCAGTATTTTTTCGCCGCCAGACAGGTCCACCACATATAGTAGTAGGATCTCAACCTCTGTTTGCATTTCCAACATTCTGGTGACATATTTGGAAACATTTTTGCCAAGCTTGCTGGTGGCAAGTGCCATCTATAAAACATTTTGTATAGGTTTTCTTTGTATGCTGTTGACAATGTTAATTTATAATTTCTCTCCCACAATTTTTGCCAATTATCTAATTCTATAGTATACCCCCCCAAAATTGCCCATACAATCATCGTTTCCTTTACATATTCTTCTTCCATTTTAAAATTTAATAGGTAATTATACATTTTCATCTGCTCCTAACAGTATCTTGTCCAGTTCTTGGGATTCCTTACAGAATCCATACATTTTAGAATCCTTCTTGTGTCTCATTGGAATTTGGGTAAATGGCCAGCAGTCCAAATCAATTCCCTGTTTTTTTAATTCCTGTTTAGATTTCAGGTCCCGGGTTCATTAAGTAAATCTTTATATCTTACAATCTTATCTGGGTCTAAAACATTAGGGTATATTAGTGCTTCTATCGTGGATAGCAAGACCAGTATTTTCATGTAGTGATTCTGTTTTATTTTTTCCCATACTGACAACAGAGACATCCCTCTCTCTTTTTGAAAGCCTCTAGTGATGGAGCACCCACAACCTCTGAAGGCAAGCTATTCCATTGGTTGATTGGTCTCACCCTTAGGAAATTTCTCCTTAGTCCTAGGTTCTCTCTTTGGTTAGTTTCCATCCATTGTTTCTTGTCGTGCCTTTTGGTGCATTAGAAAATCGATTGGCTCCCTCATTTTTGTAGGAGCCCCTCAAATTTCCTGACAGTTAGAACAATTAATCAGAGGATTAATTTTGCATATAGTTTGGCCATGAGGAGTTTCTTTAACACTTAGCACACTAACTTCACAAGTTTTTCTAGGGCCTTTTCTAGGGATGAGAATGTCACCAGGTATACCAGGACCCCCTTGTATAGGTGCTCATGCAGCACCTCATTTATGAGTTGCATGAAGACAGCAGGAGCCCCTTGCAACTGAAAAGGCGTTACTCTGAACTGGAAGCTACCGAGGAGGCAGTTGAAGGCTATTTTCTGCTCATGGCCTCCAGTCTTTGGCACTATTATCCTTATTGGCACAGCGAAGGGGGGAATGGGTTCACTCACCATCAGGTCGTCTTCCCCTTTGTCATCAGTGTCATAGGTCAGTGGGGTTTTATCTTCCTCAAGAGGGGAGGAGGCAGGTATTTCTACAGCTTGCAGGGCAAATCCTCCCCTCTCTCGTCTCCCAGGCAGGGTCTCCTTCCCCCCTCATCGGACCACAAGTACATGGTTCTGGTGTGGGGCCATTAGTTGCCTCATAGGGCCAGCTGCCTCATGGCCCCCAGTTGCCTCATGGCTTCCTCGGTTGGAGGGGAAGGGGATTCCTGCAATTCTTCAGGCTCATCAGTTGACTAGCAAGGAATTTCTCTCAGGGCTTCCACTTTGGGCATGGTGAGATATTTCCGCCTCTTAGGCAGGGGCCCTAGTCACTTCTGCACTGAGCACATACATACTGAGACAGTCCTCTTCTCCCTGGGACCTGACTCACCCAGCGACTGGTTGCTGAGGGCTCCAGAAACTCCCTCAGGTCCGACCGGGGCTCTGCATTGCTACAGAAGCTGGGCCTGGCTCTGTAGTGGGGTGGTCAGCTGTTCCATGGAAAAGTCCTCCAATTGGGCTAGAACTCCATTGCCCAGCTGTGTTGTTTTGGCTGGAGCTTCATCCACTTCAGTTCTCCCCACTTTCATTTCTCAAGTGTGTCAAACTGAATTCATACGATTCCACTACCAAACTAAATTCAGGCTTGACAGTGTGCTAATCTGAGGCCCTAGTTTTTCTCCTGATTTATACTTTACCTTCCCTTCCTTGTTATCTGATTTGTGTTTAGTTCTATTAGTTGGTCATTCTTCCCCACCAGATTTAGTGTAGATGAGCTGAGCCAGATGTTTTTCAAATGCATTCTTGCCAGTCTTCATGAAGTGCAATCCATCTCTGGTCCATCTTTTTCTCTCTTGGTGTAGACAACTTTTGTCTTATCTATATCCTGAAGGGTTTTTCAAAGTCCCCTCCAATACTGCCAGGCAGTATTGTGTTTACCTACCACAGCAATGGGGCAACCCTAGAATTGATTAAGGAGAGATGTTCTGAGAACAGTTTCCTCAGAATCTCAGAAATCAGTTTTCTCTTCCCTTTTTACAGCTAGGATTGGAACTTTCTTTAAAGCTTTTGTTAATTGTTCCTGCTGGAACAGTTAGAGAGGCTGCTCTTTCTCCTTAACTTTTCTTTCATTTTCCTCTTCTGATCATGCCTTCCATGCTGATTTCTTTTCAACTCTTGCATCTGTTCCTTCAAGCTCCTGGTACAGTGGTGTCAACTTGATTTCATTGAGGGCAGTGGTGGGATTCAAAAACTTTTACTACTGGTTCTGTGGGCGTGGCTTGGTGGGTGTGGCCATGTGACTTTGGTAGGCATGGCTCTTTTTTTGCAGCCCCCACCCATTTTGGGGAGCTTCCTAGCCACAGAGGAGCCTCTGGGAGGGTCATTTTTGCTCCCCTAAAGCTCCTCTGGGGCTCTGGAAGAAAAGGAATAGAGCATGGGAGGGGCACGCAGCACCCCTCCAAGCTCCGTTTTGGGAGCTTCCTAGCCTCAGAGAAGCCTCTTTTGCTCCCCTAAGGCTCCTCTGGGGCTCTGGAAGGCAAAAAATGGAGGGGGGCCTGAGCTCCTCCCAGCATTTTTTGCCTTCCTGGGCCTCAGCAAGGGAAATCCGGGCATAGCTGATCTTATCTACAACTGATTGTCGGGAGGGGGGGAAAAAGAAAGAAATACCTTAGGCGAATGTCAGGCAGGTGGGTGGGGTGAGCGAGCATCAGACAGGGCGACGAGGTGGGGGCGTGGCCAGCCAGAACTTACTACCGGTTCAGTGAGCCATGCCAAATTCTTGCTACCGGTTCGCCCAATCCAGTGCGAACCGGCTGAATACCACCACTGATTGAGGGCCACATCAGGCTGTGTTTGACCTTGGGGGGAAGGGGCGCATGGGCAAGGGGTGTGGCCAGCTCGATATCACTCATGTCAGGGGTGCCTTTAGTGGCCTGAGCGCTCTGCCAGAGAAAATGGGCGCCCAAGCTCCATTTTTGGCTGCGATGGCCTCCTGCATCCCTCTGCAACCTCTGCCTCTGCCAGTGAAAACAGAGCTCGGGCGGGCCTCCGTTTTCACTGGCAGAGGCACTGCAAGCCAGTCCGCTGTTTCCAGGGTCAACTCAAAGCCTGGGGGCCAAATCTAAGCACCTCGCAGGCTGGATCTGGCCCCCAGGCCTTGAGTTTGACACCCCTGTCCTAGTAGAAACCTCATCCCATCTCATGTTTTCTCCTAAATCTGTCAGTTTTTATCACATTTGCACACATTCATCTCTATTCTTCATTCTCTGTCCCTCGTTGCCCCACAAATTCTTATTCCTATTATCTCTTTCCATCTTTCTATTACTTGCACCTCCCTTACATTCTTTACTCTCCTCCCCAACATGTCTAACAACATTCCTTGCTTCTTGCAAATCTGTTTCCAAAGTGATTACTTTGTTGCTTCACTCACCCAATCAAGATTGCTCAGGGCACTGTAGCCCATCCGGAACTCCTTTTAAAGACTGCTTGCTCCAAGGGCACTGCATGATGCCACCCATAGTTCACCTCTCATCCCTCTTATTAGAAAGTTTTGTTCCAGCTATGTAATGGTACTATAAATAGAAATTGCAGAATTCTAAAGGGAACTCTTTCTCCTGATGATTCCCAATGGCTTTAAAACATAATGGGTGCCATTCATTATGTTCTGTACAATGTTTTGGAGCTGGTTACTTGAATTGGGGAAATTAGGATTTTGTTGGTAAATGTGCCATTTAGTGCAGGCTTTGGGGTATGTTCTCAGTGGTGCAGTGGTTAGAGTACAGTACTGCAAGCTACTACTACTGCAATTTGGCAGATCAAATCCCACCAGGCTCAAGGTTGACTCAGCCTTCCATCTTTCTGAGATGGGTAAAACCCAGATTGTTGGGGGCAATATGCTGACTCTGTAAACCGCTTTGAGAGGGCTGTAAGTACTATAAAGCGGTATATAAGTCTAAGTGCTATTGCTATGTTAATATGATCCGCTCAAACTCTTGGTCAGACAAATTGTACTAGAAGCTGAGTTGATGTAGCCTACATGTCTTTTGAGTGGGGTGGGGCTCAAGACCCCCAGATGTGTAACAATCTGTTTCAGCTTTCTCCTTAAAGGGGTATGAGTGACTATTTCCCATTGCTGGTTTTGGGCATTTCTGTGCCATGTTTGTTCTCTGATTTCCACTACTGCAGAGAGATTGCTTAAACAAGCCACCTCTTTCTGAGCTGCTTTTCTCCACCACACAGCACTTCCCTAAAAAAGGTCAAGTGAAAGTTTATCGGATCAGCTTTGTGGTTTTAATCAAATGAGAACCCTGCTGCCTGAAACTAACCACATTTTAATCAGTTTCACACTGAAGCCTTTTGTACTAAATGCTGACACTGTTCATCAGGATAGCAATTGTGAATAGTCACTAAAAAGGACTTCCTGCATAAAGTTTTCTATCTTTCTAGTGTAAAATACAATTAACAGGAGGTAGATGCAGGAATGCCTCACAATTATTGCTGTGCAAACAGAAGTATTTTCCAGTCACCTAAAAATTATTGACTATTTTTGTTTAAGATCATTTTAATTTTATAAGATTAAATGCAAGTTTGCAATATTATTGTTCTATTGTTTCTTCTTTTAATTTCTTAATAATGCCTAATACTTTATCTTACTACCTGTTTTCTTTGATTTTCAGTATGATTGGTGTTCCTGGATTCCAAACGCTCCTCCAACTATGCGCTGCCCACCACCTACAGAAAAGGGGAAAACCACCATTGAATATATCATCAAGAGTTTACCTGACAGGGGACGGTCTTGTTGGCATCTTGGTGCTGTTTGGGCTTTGAGTCAATTTCAAGAAAATGAAGTGAGGCTTGTCTCAATATTTAAATGCTTTTTTATTTATAACATAAAAGTGAACTCCAGACTCCACATTCTTCCTGGAAGTATGTTTGTGTTAGTGGACTAGAGGTAAGTATTGTGTACATGGACCTCAAGGAAAGCCTTCAATAAGATTCTAAAAATATTCATAAAATTAAAATATCGGTTAGAGAATACTACTATTATATGGACTTAACAGTTGAATGCACACAAATATATAAAAATGATTGTTAATAATTCTACTCCATCTTGGAAGGAAGCTTCAAGTGTAATTGAGGAGGTATAGTTTCAAGAGGACTTCACTTGAAACTTCCTTCCAAGAAACTTCACAATTTTACAGGCTATTGCTCAACATTTTTATCAATTAATTGAATGAAGCAGTACAGGGACATTTCTAAAATCTGCAGGTAGCACAAAATTGGGATGACTAATACTTTAGTTGGAAAGAAAGTTCAAAAAGATATATACCACCTTGAACAGTAAGCTGAAATGAATAGGATGGAATTTAATAGGAGGTCATATAAAGTTCTGCATCTGGATTAGAAAAACCTAATGCCCAAATATAGGATGGAGGAGGATCAAACAATAAGTTAAAATTATAATGACTTGGTCTAAAAATATAAGGAAGGAGGTTCAGGCTACACTTCAGTTGGAATATGCTTGTCAGCTGTCAAAAAGGTACTAGGACAATTCATCATGACCATGACCATTTCACCTGGACTTTTCCAACTCAGCTGACCCACTGCAGGCCTTCGTCCATGGCTGGCCCTCCAGTGATATACTGCTGCCACTACTACTACACCACTTCTCCATCACTGCCTAGTCATGGGCGATGCATCACAACACAAATCTGCATGGCCGATTCCCCTGCAAGATGATTAAATTCACCTCTGATGCTTCTGGCATGCTTCTGGTGCATGCCCACTGGCAAGAGGCACAGGGGGCATCAGCAGCAGCTGTGCTGGAAAGCAGTGGTGGCATGGCTTTGGCAGCAGCCAGCAACATTCAGATGGGGGGGGTTGCAGGTGCAGAAAAAGCAATAACTGATCTTTCTCCTCTTCTGTGTTTATTGAGAAGAAAATTAATAAAAAAGGGATAACTTATACAGTTGATTGCAGAATTGCTAAGCCTTCTTTATAAGTACATTTGAACAGGAACCAAATTAAGATTTTAAGATGAAAGTTGCTGGGAAGCGGGGGAGTCGGGGGATGCTCAGTGGAAAGGCTCACCTGGGGCTTTGGTGGCATCTGTCCTGCTGCCGGTCTGCCCAGCTCACCCAGGTTCAGCCCTTCCTTTCGTGGGCTGCCTTCTTAAAATGCCCAAGAATTGGTCCCCAAGATGGAATCCATTTGATGCTCCTGCAGGATTTCAGCCTCCCGATCCCTGCAAGGTGAAAGAGCCACTTTCGTTTGCAGCCGCACCTGCTGTGCCCCCTGCAGCAAGGCTCTCCAGAAAAGACTCCACTATTTTGAACTTCCTTACTGCTGGCTTTAACAAGCTATTGTGAAAGACTGGATGCACTTTCCCTAAAAGGCGAGGGAGACTAAGCTGTCCTGTAACAGAGTTAATCACTTTCACTATGGGAAAAGGACCGATAAACTTCAGTCCTAGCTTCTTGCATGGAAGCTTTAATTTCGGGTATTTTGTGGAGAGGTAAACCTTACTTCCAACCCAGAATGGCATTTGTAATGTGTTTTTTTATAAGTTTTTGCCGCTTCCCGCAATGCCCGCTTTGTATTATCCCACCCCTGCTTCAGAGACTCCATCCATTAATTTAGTGACATGGACGAAGGGGGCTCTCTGGGTAATTTGGGCATGTGAACAAATTCCACACCACTTGTGATTTGGAATGGGGTCATGTCAGTGCTACTGTGGACAGTGTTGTTGTACGCCACCTCTGCAAATGCCAGCAGCTCTGCCTTGTTGGACTGCTGGTAGTTAACATAGCACCTTATATACTGTTCTATTATGGCATTAGTTCGTTCTACCAACCCATTGGTACTCGGATGGAAGGCCGAGCTAAGTCCCTGCAAGGACCTAATGGACCTATCAAACTCCCTCCAGAACTTAGAAGTTAATTGGAATCCCCCTCCCCCGGTCAGAATAATCTTGCAGGGAACGTCATGTAGCCTATAGATCTGCTTGATAAATAGCTTGGCTAGCTTTTTTGTGAAAGGGAGCCCTGGGCAGGCGGTAAAGTGGGCTTGCTTTGGAAATGGATCAAATATGGTCCAAATGACCATATTCTCCCTCCTTTCAGGGAACTCCACAATAAAGTCAATGGTAATCTCCTCCCAAAGCCTGGAGGGGTCCTCCACTTGCTGCAATAGCCCTGGAGGCTTTCTTGGCCTTTTCTTAATGGCTGCACAAGTGGCATAGCTTTTGACATAGTCCTCAATGTCTTTTTTCCTTTTCAGTCATCAAAACTGACTTTGAGCTAAATGCAAGGTCTTCAAGTAGCCAAAATGCCCCGCTTGTTTAGAGTTATGGCTTTATTGGAGAACTTGGAGCCATACACTTGTGGGGATGTACAATTTTGAGCCTTTCCAGGTAGTCCATCTCTTATGATCAGTGCCTCCTTGTCATCCCTTTACAACAAGGTCTGCTTGCAGTTCATTTCTCAGTCTTTGGGTCATACTGTCCCTTCCTATAGCTCTCTTCGCCTGGCTTGACCACAGGTTGTGGCTTGCAAGGCAGGCTGGGCAGTAAATGCAAAGAAGTGGTCCATGCCATGATTCCCACTAATCATGGCGTGGAAAATCATTGGTCCCAAGAAAAGTATTTTGTTTTGGCTACAAAAATCCCTCTATCTCCAATCCTCCCTCCCTGACCTCTCAGTGTGGCAATGTTGAAGTGGGCAAAATGGCTTTGGTCAGGACAGCTTCAGGTTGACAGTCAATCATAGTAGGCATTACTTTTTTGGTTTGGTTGCTGTATTGTTGCCAATATCAGAAATATGATTGCCTTATCATATTAATTTACATGCACTGAATTGATTTAGAAGCATTGTATTTGTTTTGTTGGATGTGGGGGGGGGGGGGAGTTACCCAACTACCAGACAATTCTTACATCCAAAAGGTGTACCATACTTTCTCAGTAGAGACACCTACTCTTTCCCCTGTGGTCTGGCAAGTCTCTTCCTAGCCTTTTAAAAAGCCTTGAAGACCTGGCCTTTTTTCCCCACAAGCATTGTAGTAGACACTGGATAGATGTTCATGGATAGCTATATAAATGAAAAGGAGTGAGGGGAACAAAGAAATAAAAACAAGAAAATGTCAACACTATTCAGAAAATTAATTTGATTTGGAGATTGGATCAAATTATCTTTGAATTGAATAAATTAAAATTTGGTACAACATTATGGTACATATAAAAGGTTAAATGTACTAAAGTAATGAACAACCAGCTTCAGTACTGATAACTACAACATTGAACTAACTGGTAGATAGCTTTTGTGTTTCCTGGGGGAAGGTTACTGTAAAATCCCATTCCCTCCCCACCCCATTTTTCCAGCTCTTTTCTCCTGTGCAGGACAACAAAAGAAGACCCAGCCAATCAGCTGGGACTCAGGAGGCAGAGAATAGATGGGGGCGGGGCCAGTCAGAGGTGGTATTTGCTGGTTCTCTGAACTACTCAAAATTTCCACTACCGGTTCTCCAGAACTGGTCAGAACCTGCTGAATACCACCTCTGATCAAAAGATCCAGCAACTAGTACTCGGGTGAGCTGCAATTAAAATCTTTGCTATATTCTGATTATAATATTTGTAAACCTTGTCTACTTTTTCCAATATGTTGCATTTTTTTGGTCTTCTCCATTCAGGTGTTTCTGGGAATATATCCAGATGAACACTTCACAGAGAAGCCAGTAAAAGAGGCCATGAGGAAATTCCGCAAGAATCTTGATGGAATTGCCAGTTACATTGCTGAACGTAACAGGAACAAAAAACTTCCCTATTATTATCTTTCCCCAGATCAAATTCCTAATAGTGTGGCTGTCTAATTTTTTTAAAAAGTAACATTTAGTGTATCTAGCCAAATGGAAAATTATCTAAAGCATTAAAAAATTATAATCATTTGCACAAAATGGTATAGGATCTCCTGCTTGAGCAGAGGGTTGGACTAGAAAACCTTCAAACTCCCTTCCAACCCTATTATTCTATGTTCCATAACAACAGAAAAAATTTACTTGTTTGTTTTAGAAAGTACTTCTATAAAAACTTGCTACTATTATACTATATTTTATTTAAGATAAAGTACCATAACTGCTAAATATTGCTGATCAGAAAAAAATGAAAATATTCTGATTTGTAAATGCTGTGCAGAGCAAATGTATGTGACTCTGACCTTCAAATGTTTTAAAACTACCCAGCAAGCCTAACCAGCATAATCAGTGGGAAAGAAACCAAGAAGAGCAGCAATATTTCATGGGCATAGTTCTCATGCTCTCACCAAGAATAATTTGTGTTTCTTTACTGCAGATGTGAAAACCAGTAATAATATGCATTAATATCAATAAAATATATAAAATGCTTCTGTCATCAATAATGTGTCTTTTTAAAGAAACTAAAGGGTGCTACCTACAGCTGCACATGCCAGGTAAGGAGTGAGTTGGCAGGGAGGAGAGGGGAGGGGCCAGCCAGTGATGCAATTTGCCGGTTCTCCGAACTGGGCAGAATCATAACAACCGGTTCTATAGAACCAGTCTGACCAGGTAGTATCCCACCCCTGCCCCCAACACAACTCACAGTGAAGACAGAAGTCCTTAACCCAGTCCCAAACTTATTGCACCATGTGACCTTGTTGCACAACACGCTGGCCCTTCAAGTCATACTATCTTGACATGACATTATTTTCCGTTCAGGAGTCTGACAGCCCACGGATAGAAACTGTTCAGCCTGTGGGTGCAGCTTGCTTTATTTCTATAGCTCCTACCCAAGGGTAGGAGAGTGAAGAAGCATTGACCAGGGTGTAAGTCTAAAAAAAAGCAGTGAGCCCTAGCAATGTCATCTAGTGGGATTAGGGAACAGCCCACAATGTTTTGTGCTTTGCTCACCACGTTCTGGAATGTCTTTCTATCTGCGGCTGTCAAGCCAGCATACCACACCTGATGTGAAAATGAATTGGTTTTTCAGCGATTCTGATCCAGGGAAACATGAATATGCGTTTCTTTTCCAAATCTGAGCTCTGTGTCAAAAGTGGAGTTTTCTGGCTAAATTGAATTCTACAGGGAAACCTCGAATACAAGTCTTCAGAGAAATCTTGGATCTGAAAATGAAGTGGTTTTTCAACATAGAACTCAATTCATCAGAGAACACAACTTTGACACACAGGTCAGATTTCGAAAAGAAACACATATTCACACTCCACCGTTGGAAAATGTTGAAAAACCACTTCATTTTTGGATCCGAGCTTTCCCTGAGGAGTTATCTTGGCATATCCCAAAATTGTGGGTAGAATTCAGCCAGAAAACCCAACATTTGACGCAGAGCTCAGATTTCAAAAAGAACTTCATTTTCATGTTCCCCAGGGTGGAAAACTTTGAAAATCCACTTCATTTTTGGATTCGAGCTTTCCCTGGCATATCCCAAGGCATATCTCAAAATGGTGGGTCGAACACAATTCAGCCAGAAAACCCAACATTTGACGCAGAGCTCAGATTTCGAAAAGAACTTCATTTTCATGTTCCCCAGGGTGGAAAACGTTGAAAATCCACTTCATTTTCAGATCTGAGCTTTCCC